TTCTATAAAAGATATATTTTTGTTTGACAAGATCATACTAATATTACCATACTACTACTTATTTACTGAAAATAAGCAATAAGATCAAACCATATCGTATTTTTGATCATTTCTCCAGTCTCCAGAAAAATATTTCCCAATTTTATTGATAACAAAAATGTAACTGAAATCCAAACAACATTCTTGCCGGCATTTTTCCCACCATTTTTTCCCCATTCTGCACCAAACAACCTGTCAATCTATCAACCTGAACGCCTCAGAACGTCTTAGCCCAAATTTAAGACTGGAAAAATGTCACTCAAACCATCCGCCGCCAGCCGGCTCGCAACAGATCTAATTCAATGACACATAACCACTGTCAAATGCAGTTCCGAACGCTGCTTGCAACCTAAGAGCCCCATGAACCCATAGACCATGACCACCCCCATTCCCGGCACACAACAAGCCAAGAAGAACGCACAAGAAGGGACGCACAAAGGCGCGCAAAAGTATGCTTTATTTACTAGAAAGCATAATAAATATTATACAAGACCAGGTGCTGACTGACTGGCTTGGCTGGCTGCTCCTGCTGCTGTTGCATTGCTAAGGACCTCAGACCCCCAGAGCTGTAGACCCTGGAACGCAGACCACGTCAACCGTACCTCCAGACAAAGGAAGCTGCATTTTCAGTGTCAACTGCAGGGGCAAGCAACATGTTGCAGGCATCTGCATTTAAAGCCATATCCCCATCCACCCGCTCGATGGCGACAAATCGGCGACTCATTGGACAAACTGTTGCCCTTTCCCCAAGTCTTTTTATAACCGAAAGCCATTATATAACATCAGTGTAACCCTATAACCTTATATGCGGCTGAAGGTTGGGGCTCCACCATAAGGCGCTAGAGATGGACGGGGAGCAATACGATTGTGGGGAGTGGATTGAATACAGAATATTCTTTATATATCACGAGTGCTCGAATTACAATGATTAAAGGTATAATTTTGAAGAAACTATCGAAAGAACTGTAGCGAAAAAAAAAGCTTCCTAAAGATCGTCACATTTGAAGTAGACTTTTAATGGAATGTGTATGTAATATTTTCTGTTCTCTTTTTACAAATATCTTCTATTAAACAGGAGAGAAAAGGTTCAAAATAAACTGTAGGATAACTTTAAGAACAATTTTTGTAAGGATTATCCTGAGAATTTATCTTCTTAAAAAATTCGGTGTTACGAAGTAGATTTGGTCTGTTATTTTTTTACGATTTTTTGTATTAGTTAATGGAGAACGTTTCTCTATAGAAATATATTTTGAAATTGAAAGATATTTCATAAAAACGTTCTTCAACTATCGTTAGCAAGTATCGGTACACAGCTCCTCACTTAACGCTGCCTTCACCAAGCGACGACCACCGCTGTGATATGCATTGCATTGTAGTCATTTCTCTTAACATTTCTTTTAAAGACCCGCCAAAGAGTCCATAGTCAATGAGTCCAAGAGAGAGAGCCCAAGGAGCTGTTGTCGTTAAATAATAGCGACACTTTTGTTTCACTCAGCGCCTCAGTGTAGGAGAAGCGAAGAAAAATGCACCGCAAAGTGCGCGTTTTCTATTACAACAAAGTCCGTGTTTTTCTCAGTACCTCAGTATTCAGTTCCCCATTCCCCGGGCCCCTCATGTCCTGTGTCTTAGCCACGCTTTAAACGTCCCACAGTACGGGGTTCCGGGTCAAATGCTGGGAAGCCAAGGGGCATAACCATAACAACGACAGAAAGCGCGAAAGCATTTCATCGACACACCATTTCCCCCGCTCTCACTTTCTCTCTCTCCCGGTATTTTTTTTTCAAGTACAATGCAATCTGTGTTCACGCCGACTGACCCTTGACCCCAAGCGCAACAGGATTGCGTGGGAAAGAAACAACGGGAGGGGGAAATCGCCTTATAATTTCTTACTGTTTGCTGCCTCGTTGATTAGCGTTGCATGATTGTTCTGGGGGATTATTGGGGGGGTGGACAAACGCCATGGTTTAGGGACTTCTAAAAATAATTGCCAGGGAATAACGAGCGGACATCTTAGGGAAAGTGTGTCACAATATCCTTGTGGGAAAACCAAGAAAAGATATGGCTTTGAAGAGCTTCTTTTTTTAAGAGTTAAATGGGCAAAATGAAAGATCGAGCTTGTTACATAAGAAATCGCGAAAGAATATATGTATACTTTAAAACAAAAACATGACATAAAAGATTATTCACAAATAAATAAGGGACAGTTTTCCAAAGGAATTGTACGAAATACTCGAAAGTCGAAATATCATAGAAAATACAGATAGCAAGCGGAAAAGTAAATTTTTCTTGAACTTGCAATTTCTCTGAGACTATTTTCTACGAATGTCATTCAGAAATGCATTAGGTATAGGTTTTAAAAACATTATATAATATTCTTAGAGGATCTAATAGAAACCATTAAGTTTTTAGCTTTCAAACTGTTTTAACGTATAAATTAATATAATTTCTATCCAAAATATAGAGAGAAGATCCATTTTGGAAAAAATTTGTCTGTATTTAAGCAGAAATGTATATAATTTGTATGGAAAATTTCGTAGATCACTATATTCCATGTCAAAATTCTATCGTATATCCCGCCACAAAGAATACCAATATCTTTGCTATCAATTCAAAATATTGATCCGCAGAATGCAATAATTCTGCCTCTAACTTTATAATTATACGATGTTCTAGATTTTCAGAGAGATATACTAGATATTGGACATTCGAATGAATGTGTCATCTAACCTAATTTATGTGTCAAATACTCGTAGTCACGTGTGATGGGTCCAACTCCGATATGGCGAATATCGATTGGAGATAACGAATATCACAAATGATGCAAATGTGGGCGAGCGAATGAAATGCAAGATAAAATATCATAAAGCAAATACTGACACAAAGCTCGGCAATTATGGGGAGTATTATAAAGCTGACTAGGAAAAACTGACACAGATAATTTAGGAAATGCGATGCTCGGGATATAGAAGGATAACCTTGCGGTCCTAAAAGGAATATATATTTATTCAAACTCATTTCCAAAGATACCTTAGTAAAATGGCTATATGTGCAAAATTTATTTTCAATTTTTCTTAAAAAGTAATAGATGCTTTTTGGGTTTGACTATGCAGTTCTTATCTCTTATTTTTGTGCTCAGTTATGACAAATTTTCGTCTTCTTTGAACTCCATTTGTGGTACCATGAGCTTAGATAAGAGATCAAGCTCGCGCTCTACGTAGAAAATAGATATATGTGCAATCATGTCTATTCATGTTTTGAGAGTCGCAGTATTAGCATCTTTTCAGTAAAAGTGACAAGCTGATTGATTCTGTACGTAAGCACTCATTATTGCTTCAAAGCAATACAAATTTAAAAAAAAAATTCCATTTTAGTTAAAAATGCCACATGGTAAATCATTTTCTGAGGAAGAACAGGGAAGGATCAAGAGAATGAAATTAGCCGGCATAAAAACTGGTCGAATAGCTTCGCTAATGTATCGACATCAAAATACTATTTCAAAAATGTTCATAGATCCAGACGGTTACCGCATAAATCGTCGACTTGGCCCAGTATCAACCATAATATAATTGACAAAACGGCACTTGGGGCAGTTTGCAACTGAAGACCTAATGAGCTGCAACAAAATCAAGGCAGAACTCGGGTTAACAATCCCCAGGCAACGTGTGAGCCAAATTTTGAACGGAAATTTTAACCTGACATATCAAAAGAAAGTGGGCAAACTCCTCTAAACTAAACGTCATAATGATGCGCGCATGTCATTTTTGAAAAACACAAGTTCTGGGACCCCGAATTAGAAAATTTCATTTTTAGTGATGAAAAAAAAATGAGTTTACACGGTTCAGATGTCCATCATAAATATTGGAGAGACCCGCGTCATCCACGGGCAACTTGCTACAAGCCAAACCATGGTGATGGATCGCTAATGATATGGGCTGCCTTTAGTGCTAAAGGGAGGTCTCCAATATGTTTAATATCCGGCCGGATGAATGCTCAAGCATAGATAGAATTGATAGATAGTGAACCTTTTTCATTTGCTGAGCATTTCCATGGTGATCAATAGACATTTCAGCAGGATAATGCGCCAATTCATGTTTCCCGGGCCTCAATGGACTATTTTGAGACCCACAATAAACTGTTGATTAAGTGGGCTTCAATGAGTCCGGACTTAAATCCAATTGAGGATCTGTGGGGAATCCTTGCAGCAAAAGTCGATGCCTGTACAAGGCAGAACGATACATTGAAGCAATTAAAACAAGCGATAGTTGCAAAATGGAACAGGATAGAAATAACAACACTAAAAAACTTTCCGAACTCAATGCCCAGTAGGCTGCAAAAGCTTCAGGAGCATAAGTTTAACTCCATTAATTATTAAAAGAGTACATATTCCCATAAACTTGTTCCTTGGAAATTTTTTTCATACAAAATATTTTTTGCTGTTATACCCATTTTCTATGTGAAAAATGTACAATTATTTTTTTTTGTTATTAAAAAAATTGATATTGAATTTCTTTATGCCTTTTTGTTTTGTACTTATTAACAGCTACCCAAATAAAAATATAAAATAAATCAAGAAAACACGTGTTGAAAAAAAACGTCATTCAAAGCAATGCACATATAGCCATTTTACTAAGGTATTTTGCAGTATTTCTAAAGAATATGTCAATATTTTCATTGGTAACTCTCTTTTAGCTATTCTTCAAGTTGCCAAAGAAATTATTTATATACATTTTGAAGATCCCACAGATTTTCCACATTCTCTTGATTTAATATTTATAAATTACCTGACATTTTTAGCCCCTTCAATACTGACCCCCAACAAGCATGGATGCCACACAGCTGACGGAACTGATGAATTATTTATATACATTTTGAAGATCCCACAGATTTTCCACATTCTCTTGATTTAATATTTATAAATTACCTGACATTTTTAGCCCCTTCAATACTGACCCCCAACAAGCATGGATGCCACACAGCTGACGGAACTGATGAGTAGCCATGACTTTATGCAGCTCCAGCAGCAGTTGCACCACAACAACAACAACTACAACACAGATGGACACAATGGCTTGTCGCCAGAGTCGGCGGAGAGGAGTTCCCGTCCCATAAGACGTGCCACAAGACGCACCTCACAGGTATGCGGCAAACGAGCGGAAGATCTATAAAGAGTGGCATTGATATCAATGTGTTTTTTCCCTTTTGCAGTTAAGCAATAATACGTACGATCTGGAGATGACAGATTCTAGTTCGCAGAGCGATGATACGAGCGGTGGGGGCGGCAGCAGCAATGGAGGTGGCAGCAGCACGAACAATCCGCAGGGCCATTCCCAGGGAAATCAACGGCCCTCGAGTCGGGGCCGTGGGCAGCAGAGCAACGGCGGCTGTCCGTCGAGCCTCACTCCGAACAGTGCCAATTCCAGTTCTTCGAACTCAAATGCCAATCGGAGGCGCAAGGGAGCGCTGAATGCCAAGGAGCGGAATCTCAGGCGTTTGGAGTCCAACGAAAGGGAGCGCATGCGAATGCACAGCCTGAACGATGCGTTTCAGTCGCTGCGCGAGGTCATTCCACACGTGGAGATGGAGCGGCGGCTGTCAAAGATCGAGACTCTGACGCTGGCCAAGAACTACATCATCAATCTGACGCACATCATACTCTCGAAGCGGAACGAGGAAGCGGCTGCAATGGAGCTGAATGGTGGCGCCGTTGGCGGTGTCCTTCTATCCAGCCTCACGGCGGATGCCAGTGGCGGCACGAATGGAGCATCGGCCAATGCCACGGCTGCACTCTGCTTTGAGGATGCTCTGGCCAATGGTGGGGCCTACGATTGCGCTCTGTTGGCCGCCGCCGATGGCACTCTGCTGAATGCAGCCGCCGTTTCGGCCAATCCTGTGATGCAGAGTCTCCAGCCCCAGGCGATGCATATGCAGCAGACGCAGTTGGAGCCCACATCCCATCATCCACAGCAGCAGCAGCAGCATCACCATCAACAGCAGCAGCAGCAGCAACAGCAGCAGACGATGCATAGTCATGGCCACATGGGAGCCACAATGATGCTCACCCAACAGCAGCAACAGCAGCAGGCCCAACAGCAGCCGACCCTCATCCTCAATGGCTCCACAACAGTGAATGTGGGAGTTGGCGTCGGAGTCGGCGTAGGAGTCGGTGTGGGGGTCGGGGTAAATGTCGGAGTGGGCGTTGGGGTTGTTTCCGGCGTGGGTGTCGGTGTGGGCAATAATTCCGGAAGCTTTGCGGATGTTAATGATAATTTCGATGAGCCATTTCGAGAGTTTCTCTAAAGAAAAGATGACTAAGGGGCTATATGGATGGTAAAAATAGAATTTATAGAATATAGAGGGCGGTGAAAACCCAAAGAATTTGTTTTCCATGAGAGGAATGTAGCTTAAGAAATTAAATTATTCGAACGTAAACGATATTTTGCCATAGAAATATTCAAATTAAGATGTTGGCAGAATCCCTCATTTCTGAATAAGGCAGAAAAATGAGGAAGAACAACTGTACTTACACTTCGTTCCATTTCACCATTCCTAAATTCTCATCTATTGAGAAATCTCCCATCTATCTAGAATTTCTCCTTAATCTCCAGCTAAGATTTTTTGGATTCTTGATGTAGTAAAAATATTCGAATCTTTCAAGCCCAACTGTACTTACACTACTCCCTTTCCATTTTCATATGTTCCTCCATCTATTAAGCATTTCTCTTTAAGCAGAACTGTACTTTATCTCCGTTTCATTCCACCATTCCAAAGTCCATCAATCCCACAAGTTAGTTCTTTAAAAAATAATTATCGAAATGGCAAAAAAAAACTTGAACTCATCCTGAAATATCAGCAAATTATATAAGAATTAAGAATTAATATACGTATATAGAAATTAAGTACAAAATTACGCATAACGATATATGGAATATAAAAACCCTTTACATACCAAAAACAAAAGCTAAGCCTTAGATTGTAATATAATCAACACAAATAGAGTCAAAATAGAGTCACAATATAATTATGCAATTAATCCAACGTTGTTATAAAATAAGGATCGTAAGGATAGTAGATCATTTAGAAATACTGTAATATGTATATATAGAAATTAAGCAAAAACGGACGGAAGCAAACACCAGATACAGAATACAGATGAAAGGAAGTCGAACTCTCAACGAGTTTCGGCTATATATGTATATACACAACACATATATTATTGTGTTTGTATGTGTAATTGTCAGCAATAGCAACAAGAACAAAGCATCAATTAACGTTAACTAGCAGCCCTGGCGCGACAACGGAACGATAGAGACGACAACGACAACGACGACGGCAGAGTGACGCGCCAATAAGTTAATTTACCACCCATGATCTTTTTAATGCACTTGAAATTTATCGTACTACGGATGTAATGGTTCCCGGAGCAGGGTAACAAAACAATTAACACACCGAAACGTTGAATGGCACATTGAAATTGGCACACTTCCGATGGTACTCCCCTGTACACCCAGGACTTGCGGGTGGAACGTGTGCCAGAGCGGGACAACTCTGTATATCAACGTGGTGACGGTAAACAGTAATAAAATAACGGTGCTCGATGGGTGGCATGATACGGAGAGGGTGTGGGCTGTGTGCATGTGGGATGGATGCTTGGGTCTTAGCAATAATTAAGTGAAAAATAGTAGTTAGGGTGAGAGACGCCTCGTTCTCTCGTAGGTGTGAAAGTTAAGCTTGTTGATTATGTTTGATTAGTCGAGGATTTAGTATTTTGGGTTAGTCGGTAAGCATACATACAAACATACATCTATTTCTAGTGCTAGTAGGTGGAACGTGGAAGAAACTCTAGAAGGGGATCGGGAATGGGCCATAGAGCAATATGTAATTCGTATTCGGTTAGGAGGAGGAGCGGGGTGGGGTTTCTACAACGAAATTTGTTTGTGGACGAGTGTCAAATCTAGTCAAATTCTGTTGCACAAATTAAATACAAATATATATTTGGAAAAAAAAACTGCAATATAGATGTTTAGTAAGTATTGTAAATGTTTTTCCGCCCCCACTTACACACACACACACAAATGCACACACTAAATCAAGTCTATTATAAATCTATGTATATTTAAACAACCACAAAAACAATGAGCAAATATTTATGTAACAAAATACTAAAAGAAAACAGCATATTACTCGTATTGTATATACAGTTTAGGAATGGTCTAAGAACGATGAGCATTTGGTGTGTACAAGTAAAGGAAGATCGATATGGATAGTGTCCCTATTGAATACAGTGTAAAAATATGTAGTGTAGTGGATGCTATTCTATACGACTAACTAGTATACTTAGATGCCAAGCAAAGTTGATTGAATAAAGCAAACAAATAAATACATAAAAATGTGAGGTTTTTTAATGCAATTACCACGATCTGCCCTGGAAATTTGAAGAAATTCTTACAAAGACTGGGTTCTGAACCGATTTATCTTATTCCATTTAAATACATATGTATGTATGTAATTTAAAGGGCATCAAAAACAAGGAGTTTTGCAGCTATCAGCTTTTGATTGTGGATGTCCTCTGTTTTTGGCCATTTTCCTATGACCTTTTTAACGGTTAAACGTATTACAACAAAAAATCAAACACAAAGGTCATTAGCACTAACAAGCGCCCCATTGAACTTTTGGTATTTCTCTTGCGACACTCAGATGATGAAATAAGTCCATTATCAGTACCAGTTTACGCACATTTTGCATTAAAACTCCGAAGAATTGCATCATGTTTTTTGAGTGCAAGGTCATTAAACGGACTGCTTTTCACCTAGTTTTGTTGGACTCATATTCGGTTGTGCCTGTATTTCTTAGAGAACTATCACTATTACAACTATTCACAACTTGATCTCTTTTTATATTTGTATAATGAATTTGAAGAATTTGCGGGAAGCAGCTGATTACACGCCAAATACGCCATCTATTATATTAGTGCTGTAAAACATGTTTTTCCGTTATCGCACCCAAATATCGGCATTATTTTACATCTACCGATGGCACTGTTGCGGCTATATCTATAAATAATATGTCTACGTACTCGTCAACGTACATAAAACAATAAATAGAATAGTATTCTCCGAAATCAGATAAATAGAGCGTATAATCAAAAAAATATACAATATTTTTTGCAGCTGAAAATATTACCTATGTTACATGAAAATGTATTTAATATGTAGCGAGTCAGTAGTTAGATTGTAGTTACTACGTAAAGAAATTAATTTAGTGGACATTTTTGTTAAGCGTTTTTTAATTAACCTTGTTTTAGTAAAAATACAATAAATGGGAGAACTTAAAAGTAGTTAGTCTTGTAGAAAATTTATTTATCAATGGGATGAAACTATGTGGGCAGAGCTAAGCGTTTTATTTATTCAGAATTATTCAACGGAATATAAAAATTGAGCAATGGAGTGCTTTTCTCTTACGATTTATTATTTTTGTTTGACCTTTTTCGCTAAAACCTTTTTCTACGCCAAATGCAGTAAAAAAAAGTGTTTCAAATAAACCAGTCAATTAGAAAATGGATTCACTTATCGTATAAAATTATGTGGGCATGGCTAAAGGTTCTATATTGCTAGTAATATTCAACGGAAGATCAAAATTGAGCAATGCGGTTTCCAATCCTTGACGGAGAACGATTAACCTATTATAAGCCAAGGGGGTATTTCAATTTTCGACCGAAAATAATGAAAATTTAATCATTTTTGCGCAGTTTAGGTGAAAGATATCGTTGTTATTTTTAAGTTTAGATGAAAGGTGGCATGAATCTTAAAGAAGAATTTACAATCGTTAATATTTTCCGACATTTTCCTCAAGTAGTTGAACTATTTTAATAGAGGGGGCTTAAGTGGGCTAAGGCGCTGCCACCGCTGTTCCACGGTTATGCTTCCCACCTGACAGTTGTTTGTTTACCTCAGGCTGGCGCGGATAAATCAAACGTAAAACGAGTGATAGTTGAGAGGGTAGAGTGCAGTGATTTGAATCAGGTATAGACACACACACAAGTTGGTATTGCTAAAGTGCAAAATTATGTGAGAAACTTTTAAATATAGCTGTCAATTATCAAAGACACCTCTTTTAACTCTGTGGTGCTCTGTGCGCGTATTGTGTGTGTATGTGTGGAGTTGCCAAGTGCGCCAGACAGAGATAGAGAAACACAGAAAGCAGTGCGACAGGGCCAGACGAATGTGCAGTTATTTTTCTTCGTTTCAGGTTCACTACCTCCTTCCGTTCTACTTTGCTGGCCTTTTGTTCCTCCTCTCTTTTGTTCTTTTTCTCGTCGCGGGGCAGCATCCTCTACCTGCGAAGTGCGAGAAATCTAGGAATTTGGAGTATATACATATGTACATAGAAACACCAGCCCAGCCGCCGCATAGCTTGAATATTTAAACCTAAAAACGAAAAAGAAAAACTCCCAGGCAGTGGTTGCATTTTTTCTGTGTGGCGCTTGCCGCTTGAGTTCGCTGCAGTTTGTTAACCCCTCGCGGATTCCTCCCGAGACTTGGTTTCGATTGTTCCCATTCTTGGGCCCAACACTTTCCTTCTTTTGCGTTGTAGCTTTTATGGAAACTTCTCTTCTGTAAAAATAGCTCAAAGGGTCAGTTTTGGGGGACAGGACAGGGGTATTCCATGCTTATGGGTAGATTTCCGGAATTAGTCGATGGCACGCAACCTACAAAAGGTGTATCATTATGCACACATGCATTCGTACCTACACATACCAGTATACGACGGGACAGGCCCCAGTGACCGCCATCATCGTCCCTTTCCAAGTTGGTACCTCCGCCATATAATCGCTCCCCATCTCCTCCACGAAGTGGGAGAAAGAAAAGCGACAGTGGAGCCCAAGGGCTTATCAAATGACAGAAATAAGCAAAGGTTGCAAAAACACTTTTTGCAAGAGTTACAATAAATTGTTAAACAAATTGCTAAACGAAAAGGAAATCAGGGAGGTATGATATTTAATGTAAAAATGGTTTCTTTAATTATGAAATATAATAGTTTTATTTCACATAATTTTTGAAGGTCATTATGAGAAAATCAGTACTAAACCATTTCAAAGATTACATGAGAATAGAGAATGAATCCATACAATGATTGTTTGATAAGCTCAGAGGTTATCTTTTAAAAGCTGCCACAAACTATCGAATGAACAAATCTAATCTTTTTCAAAATATCAATCCAAAATAGTAAAAAAGTGGGGTTTCATTGCTCTAAAAACCCGCATATTTTATAAGATTTGATTTATTTTTTAGCCACTGTCCTGGCAAACACGGCCGCCACCTTCAACAAAAGGTTTATTGACAGCCAGTGGCGGCGTTTTTATCGTCCTGTTTACGCGTGGGTGAATGAAATGTATATTTGATTACTCCTCCACTTTCGCGTTCGTCCGTGTGCGACAGGTGAAACTTTTCACTCGGCTTCTTTTATAGACAGAAAGAGGAGGCCTTTATTTAATGAAGCCCAGCCGCGGCGGCCAGTGGCTATTAACCACTTTTTGCCACCGTTGACACAATTTCAAAACGATCGATTTTGGCCTGCTTCCACCTCTATGCTTTGGGAGGTGGTAGATATGTAGAATATTATGCCCATGGAAGGAGGGCACGGCACACACCCTGCTGTATGTGTGTGTGTCAATCAACTAATTGGACCAGTGACCCCTGCTAATTGAAGAGTTCAAACTGATCTAATCGGTGTGGCATATTACATATATGTACATATGTATGTACATAATTTGCTTAGACCAAAAAGACGAACAGAAATCTACTTGAGAATTGTGTTGTGCTCCATGGGTTAACATATCTCTTATTGGTTGCGATTTCTGAATGAACCACTAGCAACAGAATGACTAGTGAGGAGAAAAACAATATACAGTGGGGTGCAAAAGTGATTACATACTCATAATCACTGACTTTCGCCTCTCATAACAGGCAAACGAATAAAGCCAAACAAGCAAAATACTTGTGATTTCTTAACAAATATTCAATATTTACAAGAACGAGTACATTTACATTTACTTTACTTTATTCACTTTTGCACCCCACTGTATGTATGAGTCTTATTATAGGCTATAGAGTATACTCTTGATAAGAAATGCTTTCTTGCAGATAAGATACTAAGACCCTATAAAAAGATCGATGGCTGTCGATGTAAAAATCAGTATTCCTTTTATTTTGCTGTCGTGAGTGTCCAAGTCTAAACAAGCTTCCTCCCCAAAGATGTCAGTCTACAGCTTTAAGGAATGGTACTACATATATAGAAAAGATAAGATCAGTAAATGACATGTGTAAAATGGTGAAATTGCGTGATCCAAATCGGTCCATAAAAAGAAAAAGACTGGAGAAATGTCTGTCCATATCTAAAGGGGCTATAAATATATGGAAATATCATTTGATTCAACGAAAGTATACATACGTCTACCCCTCGAAGACAGTCTTCTGTTTACTTTGTACACAGATTGTGAAATAGTAATATGTCGCCATCCTGTCTAGAATTTTTTTATTATCGTGGCATTGCGAAAAGCATCGTGAAGAACCCAGTTTTTGCCCCTTTTATAAGTGTTGTTGTGTCATGGTGTTTATACTCGTAGTTGCTATAGCTTCAAACCCATTAGATCGCTAGACACTGGTTATCTACCCGTTCCCAAATCGATTCCGAGGGGTGGTTGCACTGATTTCACTGCAAAAGCAGGTCGTCCTTGTAACAAATACATAGAGCACTTTCGCCTCCACCCACCCACACACCCTTACACCCACAACTCAAAACAGCAAAAATACAACAAATACGTACGGGTGTAATATGTAATAACAAATAATAATGCGCCTAAAACTGGGCCAAACGAATACAATGAAATGAAAATGGGAATGAAAATGAAAATGAAATGAAAATGGCAGAAAATGCACTTCAATGCGAAAGGGCCTTGTGGGCCTTTGCTCTGCTGCCATCCATCGTGCATTCTGCACTTGACAACTTTCGCTCTATGGGAAGTGAAGTGCTCAGAAAGGTTGTGGGGTTTTGTTGTTGTGGGGTTCTCTTCTATATGTAGGGTTAATCCGCAGACAGACGACAGGTGGAGGAGAGAGAGCCAAGGGACACCCAGAGTCCACTGTGGTTGCGTGTATGTTCTGATTTGGGGGTTGGCTTCGGATTGTAGCCACTCTGATTTCCTTTTTAGAGCCCATGTGTGTCATGTGTGTGTGTGTGTGTGTGTGTGTGTCTGCGGTTGACCAACGTTTTATTGATTGATGTGCGACCGTTGTATGCCGTGTGTGTCCTGGGCCAATTGATTAATACTTTTCCATCATTCCCTTTCTTGCAGTACCAAGAATCAGAGCAAACGCGAGAGACGTTGTACGAATTTCTGTAGCAAAATGGCATCCGGCGGCTTGGCATGTGTCAAATATTTGACATTCTTTTGCAATCTCCTATTTGCGGTAAGTTCAGCTTCCCTTTTAACCGCACTCAGACGTCAATTTCCGATTTTAATCTCGCTATAGCTCACTGGACTGCTCATCTTTCTGGTGGGTGGCATGGTCCAATTGAATTATGCCCACTATTCGAACTTTGTTAGTGATCATATATGGACCGCACCCATTATACTGATGATTGTGGGTGCCGCTGTGGCCGTCATTTGTTTCCTTGGCTGTTGCGGTGCCTTGAAGGAGAGCAGCTGCATGATCCTGAGCTTTGCCATACTCGCTGTGGTCATATTCCTGTTCGAAATATGTCTGGGCGTGGCCGGGTATGTGAAGCATTCGGGCTTGCAGCAGCTAATGGAGGGACAATTCAATTCGACCATGAGGCATTACAAGGAGCGTGAGGACTATCAGGATGCTTGGACCCTGTTGCAAACGGAATTGGACTGCTGCGGCACTTATGGACCCAACGACTGGGAGGTCATTTACCCCAACAAGACCCTGCCGCCCGCATGCTGCTCTGTAATTAATTTGAGCGAGGCCAAGGAGTGCACTGTGGTGCATGCCACACAGAATGGTTGCTTGCAGAAGCTCTTGGCCATTTTGGACTCGAAGACATTGATCTTGGCCACTGTGGTGCTGGCAGTGGCGGGAATACAGGTGAGTGGGATGGACCTTTCAACGGCTTTTCTTTTTGTTAACTCTGGTTTGTTCCTTAGCTTTTGACCATACTCTTTGCCTGCTGCCTGTATCGTTCGTTTCGCCGGAGCTACGATCACGTTTAGATTGCGCAGCGATGATCCCGTCTGTCGACTTTGAAGCGGGTAGAAGGAAAGAACAAAGGAAGAACAATTTTCGTAGTTTGTAGTTTGTCATATGCATGCAAGATTTCTCGTTTCCGTCTCTGAATCACAAGAATCACACACTCACAAAACACATCACAAACCACTCATGCGCCCACTGAAGGCTGATTCTGGCATAAAAATATTACCTGTACGATTTCTAAATATTCGTATTTATTTCGTCTGAAGTTTAAGACATTATTCTTGCCAGTTTTCCAATCATTCCTTTTTTAAAAATGCCTTTTTGTTAACCATTTCTGCATTTGTTAATTTTAATTGTTACCGCATTTCTTGAATAATATTTTGCCACCAAACTAAGTTTAAGTCTCTCAATGGCAAAACATTTCTCTCTCAAATAGAAATGAAAACATTTTTGTTGAAAGAAACGAAAAAATGTATATTATTTTTCTCATACCATTCCTTACCATACCCAAAATGCCACCCAACCACGTCACATGTTCTCATATACATATCGAATTATATACCAAATATCCATCAAATAATCTCATTCGATTCGGTCAAAGTGTCCTTGCAACGATTTTATATACGATTTTTCTAGGATTTGTGTGCATTTAGAAACTATATATATTTTTATGTATATGCAGGGGATGTAATGTGGCTTATTCCTAACTCCCTAGAAACCCCCACCAGTTGAACCTTATTTTAAAAATCTATGTGTACTCGTTCGTCGGTAGAAACTATTATTACAACTAAATCTATAAATCATTTATAGCCACAATATACCACTCACAACAAACACAGATCACACACATAAATATGTATACTATAATTAACAATATATATACTCATACATACATGCATGGAAAAATGCTTTCAAAATCGAATTTACATACAATTTTGAGATCGAATATCACATTGCATACCACAGAATTTGCATCTCCGAGCCTTTAATAATGGACGATCAAAAAACATTGAATCGGTGTTTGAAATACTTATTAAAAAACGGCATATTTGCAATACACAATACATCAATAATTGTCTACAAAAGCAAGTGTAAAACTGAATAAATGAACAATTTTAAATCGAAAATGTAAACGTGAAGTATACATATTACAGAAGGATGTAAATGGATTGTATTATAGTGTGTTTTCTTACTATGAAGGGAAGGAGAAAGACGTGTATTCATATAAATTGAATAGGTTTTTCTATGGAATGATTTTGGAAGTGTTATATCATTATTAGGCAGAAATTTCTATACAATTCTGCAAAGATTTGTATAATTGAATGTTGGAGGACTCTGTGAGATCATAGCTAGGTCTCATGGAGTTCTCTTCTCAGGGAGTTACCTTGGCAACCCCTGTCAATAGTGTTTTAAAACGGACTTTACAGTACAGTTACAATTCAGAGTTTCACCTGCAACCAATGAAGCGTTGCTATCGACAACAGTAGGCTTGTTTGTTCAATCAGAATAGTCACTTAGTTCAGTGTGTTACAACAAATCGTAGTTCCTAGTCGTAATAAAATACGAACAATAATTTAGCTAAATCAAACAAATATTATATAAGCTTCTGGGAAAATAAAAAAAAAAATTTTTAGAGAAGAATAACTTAGCTACAATGTGCGAACCGGGCTTCGCGCGACGCCGTGAGGAGGTAACCGGCTTAAATCGCATCACCGAAAAGGGACTCAAGGATATTTGCAAGAGGGACAAATTATATCAAACACCACGTCTCAACGATGTGCTCTACTTGCACTTCCAGGGTAAGCATTTATTCGTAATATAAAGTGAACTTTATTGAAAAAACAACACTTTTCTTTGCAGGTTATCAATGCATAGAAAACCTGGATGAATACACGGAGCTCAAAAGCCTTTGGCTCGAAAGCAATGCCATTTCGGAGATACAAAACCTTACGAAACTCACAAAACTCAAGTGTTTGTATTTGCAGAATAATTTGATAACCAAAATGGAGAATCTCGAGTTCAATCGCGAGTTGGATACGCTGAATCTCAGCCAGAATCACATACGTAAAATAGAGAATATCGGCACAGATATTCTACCAGTTTTGAATACGCTAAACATCACTTCAAATTATCTGACGGACAGTGCCAGTTTGGCTGCTTTGGTGGAGTGCAAGACATTGTCGGTGTTGGACTTGTCCAACAATCGCATTGATGATATTTTGATTGTAAAGATATTCGAGCAGATGCCCAGCCTGAAGGTGCTAGTGCTGCAGGGCAATCCTGTGGTCTCCAGACTGCCGCAGTACCGCAAGACGTTGATATTGGCCTGTGTGAGCTCTAGACCTTTATACCTATAAGATACACTTGTTTAAGTTTTCTTTTATGTTGCAGAAAGAGCTCACCTACTTGGATAGTCGTCCTGTATTTCCACGTGATCGCGCCTGTGCAGAGGCCTGGTAAAATCCTCAATAGATCTGAAAGAATATGGAGTAAAAATACTTTTCTTCCAGGAAACGCGAGGGCTACGAAGGCGAACGAAAAGAAGTTCAACGCTGGAATCGTGCCGAGCGTCGCAAAACACGTGAAAGTGTCAACAGTAAGAGAAACCACATCCGAAACCCCAAGAGAAACCCCATATCTAATCTAAATATTTCTTTCCTTTCAACAGGTACCATACGTATGCGCAATAGACATCTAAAACCAGAGAACCAGGTGCCCCTACTCACCTCCAGTGATTCCGAGGAGGAACAGAAAGGCATTTCCAGTGCAGAAAAGGCACAGAAGCGAGCCGAAATGGAATATGGTTCTGTGGATACCATGTGGGATGAGGTTTCTGGGGAAAGTCAAGCCTCGGAGCATAGCACAACCAGTTCCACATCGGCGGAGGATAATGAAAGTGCCGGCTCGCAGGCGGATCACATTGCCGAACGCATCAGTAATCGTCGTGTGAAGCCTCTGGAGGGACGACCAAAAGTGCTGTACGATGAGGCAGCATCGGGCGATGTGGACAGCATTGTGAAACTTGTAACAAACAAAGAAGAAAATGAACAAAAGGATCAGAATATTTCAGAGATTGAGGAACAGCACAAAGGCAAGATTGTTTTTATAGAAGAAATGAATGAAAACCAAAATGCTTCGATGGGAAATCAGAAAGCAGTCTCTGAAGCTGTAGAAACCATTGGAAAACCTGTCGCAGTCGATGTCAACAATACATTATCGAATAGTATCGTCGAACCTGTAAACGAACAAAACAATCTGGCTTCCGATCAGATGGAACATCTCAAAGGCAAGCGAATTCTTATAGAAAAAGTGGATGATATTGATCCAATTAAGAAAGAACTAAAGTATTTTGATGAAGCAATGCAAAATAAAGAATTGAAGCAAACATCAGAGCTAGAGGTAGGTACTGGTATACAAATAGATGTTGCAACCATTAATGAACAACTTTTTAAGGAAAAGGCAGTCACAACCACAGACTCTAAGAAAGACTCGAATGCAGAGGATCTTCCTGAATTGAAGGTCATCACAGAGGCACTTCTTCAGTCAGATACCGCCTCGAAGCCGCCTCTTCAGCCGACACTTCTTCAATCAGACAGCGGTTCAGAGATGGATAACACCGCAGATCTTGAGCAGACATGTCAAACGCTGCTCCAAGTGGCCCAAGGAAACGATGATGACGGTGACCCCACTCCAAAACAAATCAAAAGCCAAATGATAGATGAAATGTACGAGAGTTTCGGCTCGGATTTGTTTGAAGAACATCCCCTACCCATCGATCAGCTGCTGAACGAAAGCACCAAAAAATACCAACTGGAGGCCAAAGTCTGTTGCGAGGAGGAGACAACCAAGACACCCAGAGATCTCTATAAGGAATTTATTGAGGAAGTGACCTGGCGGCCCAAAAGCAAAGAACAATTGGAACGGGAACAGGAGTGTGTCGATGCCAGTGAGAAGTGTGCCCATGATTTGGCAGAGATGGGCAGCCATCTGGAAGAGGATCTGCAGGAACTACGCGATTTCACAGAGAACCTGAGTAGCGATGTCCAAGAGCAAGCGAAGGATCCATCCGAGTCGGATGAGGAGCCGACAGAGGAAGAAATGGAGGTAAAGTCACAATTGCTAAAGGAGCAGTTCCAAGATCGCAAGCAGAGACTCAAGGAGGCTATTGAGGAGCGAAAGACTATGCAAAAGAATCTTGAAGCCAGAAAGGAGGACCTGAATAAAAGTTATAATCTCTTTGCCAAAATCATGGACGATGCCACGGATAATGTGCCGAAGCGCGTGTTTGGTGCTGGCTGTGATATGCCCAGCAAAGATTGGGACAAAGAAGAGTGCATGCAGCAGTTGCCCCTGACCTCAATGGAGGACTCCATCAATGGGCGGCCCTCTTCCAATGACGAAGATATATTGACACGACCCTTGACAGAGCTAACCAGTGCCGAAGCCGCTGAAGAAATCTGCTCTCAATTGGATCGGAAACTGGCCGGCGAGGAGGCAGCCCTGCGTCAGCTGCTCTGTGATCTGGAAAATGAAAACGAGATATTATATAGCATTGAGACACAAATCAAATATGCGGAGTCCATCAGCGTAGAGGACTCGCAATCGCAGATGGTTTGTGCCTCACTCCTAAACGATCTGATTAGTGATGTGATCTACAAGGACATCACAGAAATGGGTCCCAATAGCTATCCGCTGGGGCCCATCGAATCCGACGAAGAGTACACCTACTCGGAAGAACCAAAGCTGGAAAAGATGGTGCCACCGCATCTGGAAAATCCAGCAGGTGGCAAGAGCCTGCGCGAATGTGTGGACACCTTCAAGGAGTTCTTTGCCTCCAAGGGGAACGATAAGCCCCGGCAAGAGTCCCACACACACTTGGAGAAAATACGAGCTGCCAAGGCCCTGTTGAAGTCCAAGAGTTTGGCGGAGTTTAGCAAGGACACACCCGAAAGTTTGGATGCCCAATTGGCCAAGGATGAGGATCGGCGCAAGCGACATGTGGCTGCATCCGCAGGACGCTGCTTTGCCAAACGCGAGAAGTACGATGACACTTTGGAGGTCGTTGACAATCGTCTGATGGTCGTCAAGAAGGACACTGGGGAACTGGAGGAGTTGCCTCCGCCGCCGGAACTGATCAGTGACTCCGAATCGGAGAAGGAGGTGGAAGAAGATGACGATGCCTACGATACTGCCGAAGAGACGCTCCAAGAATATCCACGTGTTCCCTGGACCACACCGTACAAGCCAAAGCCACGCAAAGCTGCCGAACATTTGGTCAACGAAGCCATGCAACGTATCCTAGCCGAACAATTCTCTGAACTCCCCGATGACACAAAGGAAAACGAGCCCCAGGAAGATGAATTCTTTTCGCTGGAAGCTAAGGAAACATTTGGCAATCTCGATTCCGAGTTCTTCCAAAAATTGGATCTTGATAAAGTGACGACAGCGAACAATGCGGAAGCTGCCACCGAATGTATGCGCAGCTACAATGAACTGAAGGCCTGCATGAAGTCGGGCTCCACAGAGCTCCAATTGACCAGCGAGGAGAACGAAATGCTACAGGAGATGCTGTCATCTAATGAGGATCTGGAGGCCAAGCACAAGTCAAACGATGATCCGTTGGTGGAGCGGGATAACGAATTGTTGAACAAAATGATGCAACGCATGAAGGAGCACGAGGAGCGGGCACGTGAGTTGCAGGAACAGCTGGAGAAAGAGAAGGAGGAGGAGAACTCAGGTCCCATTAAACTCTCGATGGGTGAGGGATCCATGCTGTATCAGCGTTGGAGTCCTTTATCCTTAACAGAAATCATTGATCCACAAGCCGAAGAAGGAGGTCGTCAAGCAGAAGAAGGAGGTGCTCAACAAGAAGAAGGAGGTGCCCAGTCTGAAGAAAGAGATGATCAAGCAGAAGGAGTTCCCCAAGCTGAAGAAGGCGTAACCCAGGGAGAAGAAAGCGTTCTCCAAGAAGAAGAAACACATGCCGAAAACGGGGTTGCTCAAGCAGAAGGAAGAGTTCTGCAATCCCCAGAAATATATCCAATAATCGGCTACGAGGACATTGATGACGATGATGCCGCATCCGATTTCACAACCGATTATTCATCCGACGATGAGGTGGCCGTTGTCGTGCCGCCAAAGATATCCCCCGCAATGCTCAAAGCCTATTACTACGATGGCTTCGAAGAGGACATGCGTATGGTTCGCGAGAATGAGGCCAGAACTCGTCGTGGTCTGCGCGCAATAATGCAGAAGGAAAAGCAAATGTGGAAGGACAATGAAGAAATGGCAGCCGATATGGCACCTTCCCCATCACCAAAGGAGGAGCACATCCCAGAAGTAAAGACTGAAACAGAAACGGCCAAACCGACTGTGGAAACTGCCAAGGATAAGTGGGCAAAAATAGCATCAAGATTGAATGAATTTCTTGATCCCGAGGCCATGGAGCAGCTGGAGAGCCACGAATTTGGCGAAAGTGATGGCGAGGACGATGTAGACCTTACTGGCTTGCAAAACTATGACGAAGAGTCGGAAACTGAATGCGAGAGCGCTTTAAAAGAAACCGCCGAGATTGGGGATTCAGAGAAGCAAGAAAATAAAACACAGGATGAAACACTGGATCCCAAAGATACAGAAGCAATCACTGATGGTAAGAATTTAAAATATCAACTGAATTTTAGTCAGGAATAACTCTTAATTTCAGAATGGAGTCCCTATCAGACCTCTTATCGTAACAATAAATTGACCATGATCACCGAACAAACCAGTGACGTTGGGGATCCAGAGACTGAAACGACGAAACTAATTTGTCAGTGGGAAAAGATAATCCCAGAAGATTCAAAGATAGGCGATGGTCCTACAGAGAAGTTTCTAGACCAAAAAGCCCAAGACAACCCAGAAACCACAGATGAACGCCCAGAAAACCCAAAAAACTTCATAACATTGGACTACTTTGTGGACACTGAACCCTCTGAATCACTAGAAGACACTGAAGCCACTGAAACACCAGAAGTCTCAACCGAACAAACCCTCAAAACGGAACAAATGGAATTTAATCTGGATGTCCTAAACGACGATGGCGATGTGGTCATCAAAGAAGTCACCGTCGAGGCCCAAGTGACCTACCAATAGAAGCATGCATTCGTTTCTTTGTTTAGTTTTTAAGTAACAGGATTCTAGAGTATGTTCATTTAATTAATTTTCGCACTTCCTGTAAATAAACGAGCATTCCCAAAATGTACATTTATTGGATCTATATGCCAAATGAGTTTTAATCGATAAGGTGGTGGAAAGTTCAGACTGAAAAGCCAGTTCAAACCGCCTTAACCGTTTATTCAATCGATGGAAAACACTTGAGAAGTCTCCCACAGATTAGAGGATGGAACATTTGCCCCGGGGTAGATTGATAGTGACTATCAAAATTGGCACATCTTGAACCACTTGAAACCGGTTCGAGGGCCTTTATGGTGCATCCAGAAAACCGGTTTGCGTTGTTTGTTTGCGACAGTCCAGTTTGTCGTCTAAACCAGAGGCCAATCGGTTGGGTTATCACTAGGCTACCATTTCTCTGATTACCCTGAATATTCTCTAGGGTTAATAGTACTGGTATTACCAAGTGACTGTACGGAGTATTATTTTTGACACTCGGGCCCGAAATTTCACCACTCCAGCGCCAGGCGGGCAGTCGCTGAATGCGTGCTCAAAATGTTATTTATACACAATAAATACAAACTGAAAGATTAAATTGCATAATTGAAAACAGAGTAGACCCCGTATCAGACCCCCCGAGGTGTGCCCCTGACAACTGATGATTGGGCAATGTTGTGACATCCGATCAGATGTTACTTATTTTTTGGAGGCAGGTACGTCTGTCCCCACAATCATACGATAGTATTAATACTTATAATGCTTCCATTGCACTGCCAGAAATAGTGCGGATATATCATTTTTGCCCAATCACAAGTTTAACGATAAGATAATCAGCATTTTGGTTGAGTTCTTTAACTGGTTTGAGCTGGTTTTTGGTTTCGCTTTCGGGTAGGTGTGATAAAGATGGATTTTTGGACGCTTTGGTGCCCATAATCTTATCTAAAGACTGTTTTACCTCTTGCAGAGCTAAAAAGTACAAATAGGTCAATGTCGGGTAAATGTTGAGGGTTTTTCAAGGTCGTAAGTAATTAAATTATAATTATATAAAGTGGAATGGCTCCGAGATCTGTACAGACCTTTCAAGGGTTGAAATAATCATTTATTTTAGTTTTAAACATTATTTTCCGTGATTTAAACTTACGAGGCACTTAAATACTTGAGTATAATGCTTTCAGCCAGGTTTTAAGGATCTAATTAAACATTTTTTTTTATTTTTCAGTATGATTTTCGTATGCGTTCTTTACGAGGCAATGAAGTGAATGAAAAAATGGACTTTAAAGAGTTCTAAGTCCACAAACATGTTTTGCCATCATTTTTCTACGATGCACTGAATTGCATTAAAACAATCAAATAGGTAACCATTGCCGCAAACATCTGAAAGTGTAGAACGAAAAGAAAAAAAAAACCACTTGAAGAGTTTTCCATTCAATAAAAAAATACACACCGACATGAGCAGGGAATTATCAATGACCATAAAGCCCTCGGCATTAATGGCCAATACATTGTGCTCCACTTGCAGGGTAAATTCAGTCAACAGTTCAGTGTACGCGGGTTCCTTGGACTGCTGAAGGGAAGGAGTGCCGTATGCCAATCCCCGAACATAGCTGCCGATCAGCATTTGCTATCAAGAGAAAGTGAGCTCAAAAGTGTATATTGTTTTTGGATAAAAGTTTCATTCACTCACCTGCCTCTTGCAGTACTCCCCACAGCGACAGAAAGCAAATATTAGAGCCAGCGACGGCACGGAAAACGAGAATGTGGCATTGAGATACACCAGTCCATATACACCTGCTAGGACCTGTTGGGTCCAGTAAATATTCACCGTGCCATCCATGAACATCACCACGAATATACTCAAAATTGACCAGCCAAAAAGATCATTAAAGTGACTGAAAAGATCAAAGACCTCCATGTGGCTTTGTTTAAGTTCGAGGAGAAATTCCAGGGAACGCAGCTGCTTGCAATTGCCATCCGGGACGCAATTTCCACCCGACGAGTGACAGTGCAGCACATCCCGAATGCGTTTCCCCAGGAGCTCCACATGAAAACCCATTAAATCCACATAAAACAGGAGCAGCACACACTGCAGTCTGATGATGATGAGGGCCACACACGAGGACCAAAAGTACATCAAACTCGCAATAAAGGATGTATAAATCAGGGAAGCCATTGTCACAAGGCTGGCCATTCCCAGAAACATAATTTTAATATACCGCCTGCGGGGATATGACAATGCTCCCATCTTTAGCTGCACTTCTAGGCGCTCCCTTACGCGCTGGAACTCCTTACAGAACCCATAATATCCTTCGTACTGGCACATCATTTGCAGCAGGATAACCGTCATGCACAGAACCTTTGCAATAAACACAATCGCGCTGACCAGCAGCGAAAGGAGCAATGAATCTTTTTGTGGAATGTGGATCTCCATACCGAATATCACCAGATTTATGGACATTAGAAATATGGAATATATCTTTTGAAAATACTGACACGGTCCGCAGGTCTCTGTCCAGGGCACAATACCCAGTAAGGCGAAATACTTGAGGCAGGACTGCAGGCGGTACAGCATGATGATCCAGGTGTGGTTGCAACAAAACTGAACACCTTTGGAGGTGCAGCACTCGCAAGTCTGATGGAGTGATAGTACTGAAAGTGTAAGCCAATTATAGTTGTTAATTAGCTAAATGGTAGCTGGGTTTAATGCTAGTTTTGATCATCTGTAAAACTCCATTACACCGTGAGAAATTTATTACCTAAAATGTCACAAATTGTAGATTTTTCGGAGTGAATGTCTGTCTAATAGTGTGGCAAAATTGTGACCAGGGTGGCAGAAGCCACTTTCACAGCTTCAGTTGTCGCTGGATGCCACTGTTTACCTGATCCCTTCTTAGTATTTCAATACATCACTGTGTGATCATGCTCTGGCTTTTTGGAACCCTTCTCCCTATTTTCATATGTGGTTTGCATCAAAAAACATGTGCCTCATAATCGATGAAAACCCAAAACCCCCACGAAAAAGTCTGTCACAGCAAAATTTCAGGTGAATCACTGCATGTGCATCCATCTGCGAGTCATATTACCCATTTGATGCCCAACTTTACACTATAAAATGTTGTCGAGCAAAATGTATTCCGTAGAATGTAAAAAATCCGGCCCTCCGATCATGCCAAATCGACATGCACACACCGGGGCCCGTGTTGCTGCTGCTTTTACTGCAGCTCTCTTCTTTAGCTCTGAGATTGATAAGCGTTTCGTTGTCGCTGATTTAATTATGAAATGTATGTGAAGTGAGCCACAAACAAAGAGCCACTGGCGGGCGCACTGAGGCGGCACTGGGGTACAGGGGGACTGGCAGCGCATGTCTATGCTGGTTTTGTAGTTTTTATTATACCCGAGACTCAAAATGAGTACAGGGGTATATTAGATTTGTGGTGAAAATGGATGTGTACGCCCACTTCCGCCCCCACAAAGAGCGAAAAACTGTGGCATCCACAGTTTCAAAGACACGAGAAAACAGAAAACGCAGAATCGTAGAAGATGATTATATCTTCTAGAATACAAAATCTGAGCCAGATCGTATAATTATTATAGCTAGAATCAAGAAAACAATATCATTCTTTCTCGCTCTGTCTCTCTCTAACACACAGGTTTCATGGTCGGCTTTGCCAATTGCAAAATATGAGTTCCTAGATCTCAGAGACTATAAAAGCTAGAGCAACCAAATTTTTGATCCACACTCCCGTGATATCTGACCGTGACGAGTTAGTTTCAAAATTTCGCCACACCCCCTTCCTCCCCCGCAAAGGACGAAAATCTGGGGCATCCACAAATCTCAGAGACTATTAGGGCTAGAGTAACCAAATTTGGTAGTAACCTGTTAGATCTCATTATAAAACGTAAAACGCACAATCATACAGAATGACCGTATCTATGAGATTGCTAAATTTGGAGCAGATCGGATAATATAAAAATATAGCCATTATAGCCATTTTTATATAATTTGCAGTGGCTACGCAGCGCCCGACGACATGTTCACGCGCACATTGTCGCTCAATGTAGCTATACTGAATATGTATCGGGTATAAATGTAGAGTTGCGGTCGCAGCAGCAACTCACAACGTTTCTAGTATTTTGCAGTAGAATTAAAGTTTCTTTCATGTAATTTTTCTACTACTAGCTAATATTTCCTAAATATCTTTTTAGTAAGTATTTTTACATTTTGTTGTGGTATTTCTAAGTATTTTTGTGGTATATATTTACAAAAAATTAATTCTCCTAGTACGGAAATTATTTTTTAGCTTTTATTTATAATCAAATCACGTTGATAACGATAATGGGCCGCTCGTGTGGCACCGAAGTATAAATACCACCCGGTTTTCACACTGAATTTCAGTTGATAGTTTGCCGGCCTTCCAAGCGGTTGGGCATGAATGAAAGAAAAACTATAGAGTCAACTATAATAGCAAAAACTATAGAGTGAAAAGTGAAAACTATAAAGTGAAAATTAATTGAAGTGAAAAGTGAAAATAAGCTTGAACCTTACTGTGCAAATAATCTACAAGAAATGGCTGTTAGTATTAATAATCAAATCCAAATTCATATTTTAATGAAATTTGATTCTTATTTGAGTTTGCAATTGAGTTAAATTCGCGACAGCAGAATTTGGCAAAGAATCAGAAACCCAAATTAGAGCTAATCAAAAGTAATGCGACCCACAACCAATCTATAAAGCAATGGAAATTTATAGTTTGGATGGAAAGAAGATAGAAATAAAATGAAACTGGAATTTTATATGCTTTTTTGACAGTTTATTAATTCCTATAAAAAGTTCAGGCTAAATATTAATAGGGAAATACAAATATTTTATTACTATCCAACATAATTTTTCTCTGTCAATTTACTAACTCTTACTTTTCATCGAAATTGTAAATTTTTTAATTTTAATTGTTATTTTGAATGAAAAATTGGATTGAAAATGTTCCCGTGTGCCTAAAAAAAAACCTTGACAACTGATATAGAATTTTCTGTAAAATTAATGGGAAAAGGTCAAGAACAGCCAATTTAAATAGGTATATATGGTTAATTTTAAATAAATAGCATATCAGTGCTGTAAATAGATAACTTCCTTGAAGTTCACGATTTTTAATAAATTGCGCACTGGAGTTCTTTAAATAGTTTCCAAATATTTGTAAGGGTATCCCTATAAAATGAGGTACTCTTTCAGGCTTCCTCATGCATCCTTAAACTATTCTCACAACAGAGTTTTAGGATAAAGTCAGAATCTCATTACAAATCTCCTTTTTGGCCTAAGTGGCTCCCTCCACAGAGCTCCTACCTTCCACCGTCTACACAGCAGCAAAAACTAACCCTTTTCTCCTTTCTTAAACCCACCTTTTTCCTTCAGTTAAAACTTCGCATTGCCATCATTGGCCAGAGTAACTTTGCTGCCGATGTGCTGGAGCTTCTGCTGGAGCGTTCGAACATACAAATTGTTGGCGTCTTCACCATACCGGACAAGGGGAGTCGCGAGGATGTGCTGGCCACCACTGCCGCAGCCCACAAGATACCCGTCTTTAAGTTTAGCAGCTGGCGGCGGAAGGGCGTGGCTCTGCCGGAGGTTTTGGCACAATATAAATCGGTGGGCGCCACCTTGAATGTGCTGCCGTACTGTTCGCAGTTCATTCCAATGGAGGTGATTGATGGGGCCTCATTGGGAAGCATTTGCTACCATCCATCGATCCTGCCACGCCATCGCGGTGCCAGTGCCATATCCTGGACCCTGATTGAGGGCGACGAGGTGGCTGGCTTTAGTATCTTTTGGGCGGATGATGGCCTGGACACTGGACCATTGCTGTTGACGCGTCAGACGAATCTCGAGCCCACCGACACACTGGACAGCATCTACAAGAGATTCCTGTATCCCGAGGGCGTCAAGGCCATGGGTGTGGCCGTGGACATGGTGGCCAATGGCACGGCTCCAAAGATAACCCAAACGGAGATCGGGGCCACCTACGATCCGGCCATGTTCAAGGCCGATAATCAGTTGATCAATCTGCAGCAACCGGCGGAGCGGATCTGGAACTTTGTGCGGGGCTTGGACTCCGTGCCTGGGGCCATAGCCACAGTTCTGCTGCAGGACGGCACCGAGGAGCAGATACGTCTCTTTGGCGCCCATCTGTATTCCGCTGGTCCCGTGTCGAATGGCCAGCCACTGCGACTGCAGGGTCTCACGAAACCCGCTTGGATTCACGCCTCGGGTCTTCTGATCGAAGGCACCGATGGGGCGTTCGTGAACGTCCGTCGCATCAAGCGTGGGTCAAAGGTGATCAATGCCAGCGAATGGTTCAAGCAGGCCGAGCAGCAGCCCATCACAGACTTCTCCGAGGATGAGCTATCCAAGAAGGGTATCCTTTCTGCCATTTGGCAGGCTATTTTGAAGGAGCCCATTGAGGGTTCCACAGATTTCTTTGCCGCTGGCGCGGGCTCCATGGATGTGGTGCGTCTGGTGGAGGAAGTAAAGGAAGCCTTCGATGTCCCACTCGAGAATGATAATGTCTTTATGGCTCCCGTGTTTGAGGAGTTCTTTGGACAGCTCGTTAAAATTCTGCGTCAAGGCAGTGGCGGCTCTGGTGGGCAGCAGCTCATCTACGAAGGTTTCACTCTGAAGGCAAACAAAAGGGAGATTCAGGTGCCCACACAGCTCTTCATCGATGGGGAGTTTGTGGATGCCGAGGGCAAGCGCACCTTGGAGATTGTGAATCCCACAGACGAGAAGGTCCTCTGTAAAGTGGCCTGTGCCTCTCCCAAGGATGTGGACAAGGCAGTAAAGGCTGCCCACGCTGCTTTCTATGGCTCGTGGAAGCAGGTTTCGGCCCGGCAGCGTGGTCAACTGATGCTCAATCTAGCTGATCTCATGGAGAAGCACAAGGAGGAGCTTGCAACCATCGAATCGGTGGATTCGGGTGCGGTCTACACCCTGGCCCTGAAGACCCACATTGGCATGTCCATCGATGCCTGGCGGTATTTTGCCGGATGGTGCGATAAGATCCAAGGGAACACCATACCCGTGAACCCCGCGAGACCCAATAACGTCCTGACCTTCACGCGGAAGGAGCCCATTGGCGTGTGTGGCTTGGTCACCCCATGGAACTATCCTTTGATGATGCTCTCCTGGAAGATGGCCGCCTGCATTGCTGCTGGCAATACCTGTCTGATCAAGCCCGCCCAAACGTGTCCTTTGACTGCTCTGAAATTCGCTGAGCTGACAGTCAAGGCGGGTTTTCCTCCGGGTGTGATTAATGTCCTGCCTGGCAAGGGTTCCGATGCTGGTCAGGCGGTGGCCGATCATCAATTGGTTCGGAAGCTGGGCTTCACGGGATCCACGCCCATTGGCAAGCACATTATGAAGTCCTGTGCGGACTCCAATCTCAAGAAGTGCTCGCTAGAGCTGGGAGGCAAGTCTCCTTTGATTATCTTTGCGGATTGTGACCTAGACAAAGCGGTGAAGCATGTAAGAAATGGCAAAGAAAATCCCTTGAGAAAACCTTCTACTCAAGCACTCTTTTCTGTATTTTCCAGGGCATGTCTTCTGTTTTCTTCAACAAGGGAGAAAATTGCATTGCTGCTGGCCGACTCTTTGTGGAGGATCGCATTCATGACGAGTTTGTGCGGCGTGTGCTCAAGGATCTCCGCACCATGACCATTGGGGATCCCCTGAATCGCTCTACAGCCCATGGCCCGCAGAACCACAAGGCACACTTTGAGAAGCTGCTGGAGTTCTGTGAGCGAGGTGTGAAGGACGGAGCCACACTGGTGTACGGCGGCTGTCGTGTTCCGAATCTCAAGGGCTACTTCTTTACTCCCACGGTGTTCACGAATGTCGAGGATGATATGTTCATAGCGCAGGAGGAGTCCTTTGGGCCCATCATGATCATCTCCAAGTTCAATGGCAGCGACATCGACTCGGTCATGCAGAGGGCCAACAGCACGGAGTACGGACTGGCCAGCGGTGTCTTTACCAAGGACATTAGCAAGGCTCTCAGCTTCGCGGACCGCATTGAGGCCGGCACCGTGTTTGTGAATGTCTACAACAAGACAGACGTGGCAGCGCCATTTGGCGGCTTCAAGCAGAGCGGCTACGGCAAGGACCTGGGTCAAGAGGCCCTCAACGAGTATCTCAAGACCAAGTGTGTGACAATTGAATATTGAAAAGCCAAGTGTATTGAAAGAGAAGTGTGTTCCGGTGGGAGGGCCAAGCCCTCCAATCCCATCCGCAATATGATAGTGGATTGAAAGAAAGAAAAGACTTAACGTTTTGCATAGCTCACAGCTATCATAGTTATAGGCATAGATATTCGTATACGTATTTGACAATTTGTTCTCTTATCTATCTAATAAATAAACTGGAAAATCGTCCTTAAGCCACGTCAAGCACTCAGGATACTTTGTAGTGGTCTCAAGGCAGCCTTATGATTGCCCTTGCAATCGATATTCTCACTGCTATTCTGCTGCTTGCCCCCAACAACGACGATTGGAGGATATCTTGACTTGTGACTTGGCAAATGCACGAAAACCCATGCACTCTACACTCCACATATAGAGAGTATTTGTTGAGAAAAGTAAAAAACAGCTATAGGAAAAGCTATAGGATATTATTGAAAGTAATGCGTTCAACCACTGAACATGAGTGCAAGATAAGGCGCCGAAACCCAAAGGAACTATATTTCATTTACTTATTCTGGATGTTATAGTTCTGAAATCCTAATGGATCCTAAAGAAACTTGATATATGGTTAAATAATATATAACAAAACTCAATACTATAACAAAATTCAATACTGTATCTTGAAAATTAACGCCCCACAACTTTTACATATCTTCAAGGCTATATAATTTTGAATCTTTATGAAACTTGATAGTTGGATACATAATGGCTATATACAAGACTTTATAAGGATTCAGCTCTGTATCTGCCCCACAACATTTACTGGTTTTTTAAGGCTATAATATTAATTGAATCTTGATAAAAACTTGATAGAAGTGTAGTTAATGTGCAAATAAATGACTGTATTTAAGTTCAGCATTATATCTGGAAAATTCTGTAAACGACAATTTCTCTAGATTTGCAATTGCTGAATATTTTTAATATTTTAATACATTTCTTACCTTCTGTGTGGACTGAAATAATAAAAGATAAATCAGTTTCAATATAAACATTAATTATTATCAAAAAATATGTGTTCTATTTTCTATAGAAGTCCACAACCTCTAGGTCTAATCTGTATACCATATTTTCAACGACTCTCTGCATCATAATCTCCTACATAAGCGGTGTAAGGTATAAGGACGACCTACCAATGCTTTAGCTTTGTTAGCTTTATTGTTCTATTATTATCCCCACTCGTTCGTTATAGGGCCTCTCAAGAATCCTTCTAACCTGACCTTTTCTGAAACCATACTAAACTTCTACTTGTCAAGCACTTAAACTTTGCCATTTGTGCGAAAATTCGCAAGCAGTCGGCAGCAGGCAGGCAGGCAGGCAGGCAAAAGAACAGCAGCACCAGCAGCGGCAGCAGGCAGCAGGCAGGCGGGCAGCAACAACGGCTTAATGCGCCCCCAAACGACTAGCAGCCACCCCCAAAAAATCCCCCCGGACAATTATAGCGACCACTGCCAGCCCCACCATCACCCCCGACCAGTGTCCCGCGGAGGACTCTACGAATGGGGCTCGATGTGCACAAGTTTTTGGCAAGCAAAGTGGGTCAACCTCTGCCTCCGCTCGGCCCCTCTGCCGCTCTCTGCTGCGGCTAGGCGCCGAAGCCTGATCGCCGGCCTCAGTGCGGGTGTGCGCGGGTCCATAATTTAAAGGTTTAAGTGTTATATATGCCATATTTCAATTATTTTCATTGCCGGACATCGGGGGAAGACGGTACGGTATGCTATGGTATATACATGTATATCCTTCAAAAGTTTTGCAAGCTTTTCGCATTAACGCGACATACATTTTTCTGTGTTGCGTATACGTAATCTCTGTTTGTGTGGATTAGTGGATGCTGGATGTTGGATGGTGGGTGCGTGGGTACGTGTGTATGTGTGGCTTTTTGTTTTAGTTCAAACTTGAACATGGTTCAGGTCTGTCTCTGTCTCTCTCTTTCGATGTATCTCTTTCACTCTGTATCTCTTGTTTCCCTTTCCCTCTCTATATATCTCTTCTTTCCCCTTTCGCTCGTCTGAAGCTTAAGCTTTCTACAACACTCCCCTGTAATTGAATTAGCTGTAAGGACATGTGCGTTCCTTGTTCTATTGTTGCTGTGTCGCCCAGTGCTGCTGCCATCAATTTATGCAGCATCCTCTCCTTTGTTCCTATATATGTACACATCCTGTTGGATCCTTCTCTCTCTGTCTGCCGCTTCTCTCTCTCTCTCTCTCTCTTTGGCTGTGGCGTGTCCTGTGTACATTTTCTACTTGTCTCTGGTGTTAATTTTGATTGATTTATGTTGATTGGGGCGTGACAATGACAGCAGCCCAGCAGCAGCCCCCAAGATACGCAAAACTGTGGGTTATGCGTCCATGATGTGGTAATGATAATTGGGTTGGATCTTGAAACTAGAGAGTAATGTTGTAAATAATGATATAGATGAAAGAAATGAGTACAATATATGGTGTATCGAAGGGAAACGATGACAGAAAGATGACAAATTATATAGATAAACTATATATGGTACAAATAATGGTCTGAAATTGTATCGAAAGCCAGTATGGATGGGAAAGGAGAGAGATTTACTGATATATGGTACAAATAATATCACATATGAGAGAAAAATTGGAGATATGATACTTAAGGGAAAAATTTGAGACAGATAAACTATTTATGGTATATATAATCACATAATTCCTAGTTATTCAATCTCTATATGAGATTCTTCACCCTAAATTGATCTACAACCCGTACTACCTTTTTTGTTGCCTACTTTTAGGCTGTCGCAAAATATGAATATGTGCTCATTTCCGCTCCTACAGTTCTCTAGCTCGAGTGTAGCTTTGTCGCCAGAGAAAAACCAACAAACTAAACCCCAAAGCTCCGTCAAAGACCTCCCGAAACAAACCTAAGCCCCCTCGAGGAGGACACCTCTTACCGAGCTCCTACACAAGCGAGGAAATGACAAATTATGTGGCATGGAGAACCCCCTAATATTAAGCAGCAGCAGGAGGAAAAGTCCAAAACAATCAACAAAGTGTCCTTCAGAAAAGTTCCATACTTTCCACCCGCACCCCACCAAATGGAAAACTTTGTCAAAAATAGCAAACCTCTAAGTTTTTGGCCAACTCAATTGACATTAAAGCCATTAAAAGACTATTTTTATGCCAAGAGCAGAAGCCGAAGTAAAATCTGAATCTGAATCAGCATCAGGGATTCGAAGAGCCCTCCCTTTCTGGTTGTATAACACTTTTGCGGGTAACTTTCCAAATCAGCTGAGAAATGACGTAATTGAATGAAGGGGAAATAACCAAAAGAGAAAGGTCTGCCAAAAACCTTACAGCCTTACATTTTCCCTCTCTTTAATACAAAAAAGTCTAAGGCGAAACGCCATCACGTGGGAAAAGTCAATTTTCGGCAAATTCCGGCTTTGGACTACGGCTCTGGCTCTGGCTTTAGTTTTTATATAATTTGGAAATATTACCCCGGCTTCAACTTCAAACTCAAACTCCTTGGGGCTCTCCTTCTCTCTCTCTTTCCCTCTCTTTCTGCTCTCCCACAAAATAATCAATAAATATTATATTACCAGAGCCGGAGACACAGTCTCTTCGTGTCTCCCTCGCTTGTTCTCCGGGTCCATTGCGCAGGAGCGCATCTGAATTCGCCGGAACGCTATAATTTCGCCATTGGAAATGGTAATTTTTGCCGCCTTTGGCTTTCTGCTGGACGATATGCCTCTGGGGCACCGATTGATGGGCTTCTGCGCTGATTGAATTCCATCAGACGTCGACGGGCGGAGAGAGCGCATGAGCCTGAGAGAACACTGGCCGCTGCCGAAGACATATCCGGGGGGCAGACGACTCCTGCAATTTATTCAGGCAGGCCCTCAGTAATGCGAGAGCTGTCAAATGCAAGCAAAAATTACTACAGTTGTGGGAGGACTGGAGGATTGGCCTCTGGCTAAGCCAGCAACAGCTTAGAAGGGTGACAGCTTGAGGCTGTCGTTGTTCCCTACCAAAGAACTGAAAGATCACCAATTCGTTAAAAAAATAAATGTCAATTGATGGAGAATTGTTTTTTTCATTCATTCAACTATTTTGAAATAATAATTATGCAATTTCAATAATTGTTGGTATCTCTACAGCTTGTCAATGTCCCATATCTTCAAAATTTGTTTGGTAATTTTTTATATTATTTTTATGAGAATGAATTTTAAAACCATTCTAAAAGTTCTATACAGTTTTAGCTGAACTGACAATTTTTACATTAATTGCCAACTAATTGGCAGTTTTTCATGCACCAGCAACTGATTGGCCTGCAACTGATGAAGTTTTGCGGCGCTTGGCGCTTGCACAGTTTTACAGCCATTCGATGGAACTGCAAATCACAGCAGCAAAAGTAGCTGAAAGCTTAACCGAGCCCAAAGCGCTCGTTCTCTCTCTCTCTCTCTCTTTCTCCCACGCTGCACCGCTCCTTCCCTCACCCGCTAGGAGAACAAAGCATAGCGTCGACTGTTATTCCAGCGGAACGGCGACGGCACCCAGCTGAGCAAAAAGCTCCAGCTCTGGCTTTTTTTCTTCATTGCAAAGCTGAAGCTTCCATCCAGACACCATACCACACCACACACCCCCGCTGGCACCCATTAACGGTGTGGGTCCGTCCGCCGGAGCCGAAGAGGAACCCCGTAACCGAATGCCCGAACCGAAGCCAACCGAACCGAACCGCTCTGGATAGCCAGCTGCAAGCTGCGGCACAATCGTCGATGGCCTGGCACTATCATTGGCGTTTTAACTGTGGACGGTTGCTACTCGCACTCGCTGGCGGATTAACGGCATAGATATACATACATATATGTACACATGCAGCTACATATATATATCTATATATCTGGAGCTATTATGTGCAAGTCTGCGTAGAGAGAAGGGAGAGGCGTTCAACAAACAACAAAAAAACACCCATTCTGTATGTGTGCCACGGCTAAAATCCAAACCAACCAACAACACAAAAAAATTTTCACATCTGAACGAACGCTGGTTACATAAAAAAAAGATCCACATCAAAAACCCATCCAAGGAAAATCCTACAAAAAGCAAAGTTCTACAACGTGTATCCATAAATCAAATATAATTTCAAGTGCCTGAAAAATAATTTATATAAACAAAACAGAGAGGGAAAACTTGTGCCTATAAAAAAAAGAAAAAAGGAGAAAAACAGTTTATGATTACGTCGCCGACGACGGCTACAACGAGGACATTGTGACAGCAGCAATACCAGCAGCAGCAAAGATATCCTTGTAAAACTTATATACATACTGAAATTCGATTTTTTTTGCCTGCTTTGCTGCTTGAGAATTTAACGCCAAAGGAAAGCTCAGAGCCAAAGAAAATATACAACGAGCATAAGACAATATCCAAAGTGTGTGTATGTGCTAACAAAATACTTTAAAAAGCAGGAAAACCCTTTGTTATAAAACATTTTCATAGTTAGTTTCAGAGTTCGATCTTATATAAAAGTTTGGGGTGTAGTTTTAAAAACTTTCACAGAAGTCAGAGTGGAAAGAACCCAAGTTAGGGTTGAGTATGGTACATATGCTACTTAGTCAGTCATGGTAGTATAAATCCTAACCTTAATGATAAATATTTCGTACAGATCTTCTAAATGCTAAGGGAATCACTTCCCATAGAGAACACCCATTGAAAACACCTTTCCACTCCGTCTTTATGCACTTTTTAAGCAGAAGGAAAAACGGAACGAACAGAAATTGCAAAAAAAAGAAGGAAAGCCCCGAGAAATACTTATGTGTATCCCCCACCAAACAGTTATCTCTCTTTGTGGATGTGTGTTTGTCAGTCTCTCAGTGTGTGTGTGCGTGTGTACTGGGGGGAACATAGCGTTGCCTACATTTGTGCGCCATGCCCTTTACTAGACATTCGCTTGCCCCCAAGTCCAAACCACACCAGTCGCCCGCATACACGCCCCATGCCACACTCACTCGCACGCCCGTATGCCACACGGCCCCCCTGCCACCAGCCACAGGCCAAAAGCAAAGGCAAAGCCGCAGAACCCAGAGCCCGAGTCGAGTCGGACGCGTTGCGCAATGTGCGCCGCGAAAAGACAGCGGCAGCGACGCCGACAGAACAGCCACACACAAAAAAGTAAGTCAAGCAAAGGCATACGCTCGTACGAGTACGACTTCGAGTAGTGTGTGTCTGTTTGTGTGCGTGCGTGTAAGAATTTTCTTAAAAAAAGAAACTGAAGGGATAACAGATATTCGATGATAAGCGCCAGGGGCAGAGGCATCATCATCAACAATCCTCCAAAGAGGATGTCCTTGCAGCGTAAAATAAATTCTGTTGCATGCTTTTGGGCGTCAGCTGAAAAAAGTGCAGAGGGAGCGGAAAACAGAAACAGACTTTGTGGTAGAGAGAGATTGTACTCCCCAATGGACTATTGGATTAGCGGCAGGACACCACACCATACCACTGCCCCCCTCTCACTCCACACCCCCTAACGTAGCGTTCTCCATGGATATTGGTTATAGTACTGCTCTCAGAACTGTCATTAAGATGGCGCCCAGCTGTCAACTTTCATGGTAAACGGCAACGGCAACGGCAACGGCAATGGCATGGCATGTAAAAGTATTTTTGCCTTCGATTCCAAAAGCTGCCACTGCTGCTGCTGCAGCACTACAAAGCAGAAGAAGAAGCTGAGCAAAAAAATAACCTTCCAAGGCAAAAGTTCCAGTTCTACGCTCTCGCACTCACTCTCTCCCTCTCTCTCTTTCACACACTCTAGCTAGCCACCTCTCTTTCCTTGCCTGACTCTGTGTTCATCTCTCTCTCTCGCGCATGTCCGCCACTCGTCGCTCGTTGGCTCGGCTTTAGTCGGACGATTGCTGGTCGAAGGCTTTTTCCATGCTCCACGCTCGAGATTACATAACAGTTGGCAGCAGCAGAGTGTCTGTGTGGCTCAAAAATCGGCAGAGGTGACTACTGAATATACATTTTACGTAAACGAGAAAGATTCCACACAACAGTTTTCCAACAATTAACTAATGGAGAAATTCAAAAGAATAAAATTAGTAAAATAAAAAAAGAATAAGTGAAGCATTTTTGCAGCCCAAAAACGAAAAGAAAAGAAAGCGTAAAAGCAAAGAAAAGGCACTTCGGGCAAAGACAGGTTTTCCTTAAGTGTCCTTGTGGCTGCGCCGAATCGAGGCAAGTCACACAACAGGAACAACAAAAACACACATTTGGTGAAAGGAGAAAAAATGGAGAAAAAATAACTGAAGAACAACTGAAGGAAAGCCAAAGTTTATATAAGCAAAAAACCAGATTGTGGCTTTTGAAGACAATAGTGACCAAAAAACAGTAGAAAAATAGCTACTTATATAAAGAAGTCGCCTTTTCGGCGGTAGACAGGGAAAAATAGTTCGAATCTATAAAATACTTATTTTAAATTCAAGAAATGATAAGAAAACCCATCAAAAAGACTATAAACTATTCATAAAATTGAACTAAAGTACAAAAGGCACCAGGAACATTCAATGAAAAACAAATAAACAAAAAGAAAACCTCAACTATTATGTCACAAACTTTATCATCTAACCTCCACCCTTCATCCACTAACAGGTGTCACATCTAATCGCAAAACTCCATTCAATAACCATCCAAAACTATCTTCTGATCATCACTTTCTTTTTTCAGTAACGAAATTTAGCGCAAATCTAAACCAAAATACTGCTACGAACATTCCAAACATAAAAATCAACCAACAAAAAACCGATAAAATGTTGTACCAACGCAGTTGATTAAGAAAAACTCACCCAAAAAAAACCAAAATCAACACCAATAAATCTATATATATAAATAATTAAAAATATATAATATATTCATAATCGATAAGCGTTCAACCTTAAGCCCACAAGAAAAATAGCTTAAACAAAGAACTAGCTTTATAGACAAGTCACCCTCCTACAACAACAACCAAACACACAAAACCAAAGTGACAAAAACCAATTAAAACCAAATTCTCAAGTAAAACCCGATAAAAAAAGAAAAGCAGTAAAAATGGCCGACAAGAAAATTGGTGAATATTACACGCCGCCGGTAAAAATGGGCAAATGGGAGGGTTTCAAAAAATTCCTATGGAACAGTGAAACTAGCCAATGCCTTGGACGTACCGGTTCCAGTTGGGGTAAGTACTTCGGATCAGAAAATGATCTGTTTAATGGGTGATCAATGTATATTTAACGATGATTTATAACTAAATCGAACATCAATCAAATGGAGGACGTTGAACAAAGGTTATTGTTTGGAGATATGATTTATAGTTCACTTTTGGGAGTACAAAAAATATAGAATATCTATCCATCAGTTTGTTCTCAGTGTATACATAGCTATAGATTATTTCAGATGTTTATCACAAATTTTTTCCAATGTTTAGAAATATCCATTAGTGTCTAGGAGAAATTTATAAAAAAGGGATCTATTTTTTTGCAATACCTTAATGTCTTCCAAAATTGATTTAAAAATTCTCTTACTATATTTTTATGTTATTTTAATTCTTCTGATTGTTTTCCTTAACTTTTAATTTGAATTTTTCTTTATATTTAAAGAGATTTATCGATTTTTTATTAAAAGTGTCAGTATGAGTACTTTATGTTAATAATATACATGTTTTCTGATTAAAAATTAATATATTTTAATTGTAACAAACCTAGTTTCTTACGTTTAAATATTTTTTCTTTTATTTCCAATTGATTTTTGCTTAGGTATATATACTCAAAAAATGTCTGATTACTATTTCATACGTAAATTGCTGTTAGAAATTACACAAACGATTTGCAACTACTGTTCTAAATTTTCTAACCATATTTCATCGATTAGTTCTTCCTTTCCCATTTCCAATAAGAAATTTCACTCGTAATTACATGCCAATCATTTGCCGCCATTACTTTGGCCTTTTCTGTCCGCCATCGCAAAAGGGGCAATCATATCCCGTACTCGTATCTGTATCTCTCAAGCGAAATATCGATCAAAGTGTAAGCACTTACCCGTAGTACGAGTACGTAGAGAATGCGGCACGCGTGTGTGCAAGTCACGTAGTTAGTCTAAATATAGAAATCAATAATGTACCTAAGGCCGAGGCCCAGGGCAGCCCAGCCATCGCTAATGCGTGCACACTTCATGGAACCATACTGAAAATCGCACTATAAGCCTCACTGAACCATCGTTTAGTACTTCCACTGATTGCATAAGGCGAGGGAGTCCTTGCAACGTTTTTGGTGACATCCATACAGCAGGAAGGAAGCATAATTTCCCAGGGAAAATATATGACTAATCGCTGGATATCGTGTGTAAGCGTCATGACAACAGCTCCCCTAAAGAAATGTAATAAATTTTTTATGGCCCCAGCAATCGGTAGCTCAACAAAAAAAACCTTTTCTTCTTCTGGATGTTTAGATATCGGAATAGATAATATTGTTTATTGTCTTTTTGGTGCCCCACGAAACGAAAGCACTGAAAGGCATGAAAGTTTAGTAATTTCATAAACCAATTAGATAATGTTTAAGGTCTATATATCATTCGTTTTGCTATCTATTTAGATGTAGACTGTTGGGTTGTTAGGTCAGTTATGGATGGAAAGTGGTTTTTAAATGCCAAAAAGAGAGAAATATTTGTCATAGATATAACAGAGAAGCTTTGCCAGGCATTTCGCACATAAAATACAACGATTATCGTCAATTTATTTTGTACGTGTTATTTGATTCTCTATTGGATATTGGTTTTTTTTTAGCTTCGAAAAGCAATTGAGCTGCTCAGAATGTCACTAAGAATGTCACTCTCCGGGCTCCCCTAACCACTACTCTCGCACAGAGCTCTCCTTCCAATAGAGAGAAAGACCTACCTCTAAGCCCCGCCCCATATCCCATTTCCCCAACTGTGTCTTTGGCACGTGCGCGCCTGATGGGTTTATATTTAGAAATTCTTCTTCCATTTCATGGTAAATTTTTAATGAAATTGAATTTTAGTCGAATGTCGCATTGTTTGACAGCAAAATGTGCTATTGATCGGTGTGTGCGGGGCATCGGTATCAACGGGGTATTAAGATAGTGACGTAGGGGATTTTAAATGTCATTTAGAGAGCATTAAGTTAACCAAAGGTTAAGACTAACCAAAAATTTATAGATGATTGAAGAGAAATATAAGATATTGCACTTTATTAGGTTTTAGAATAAGTTTTAGTATGAATATTTTAAAATTTAACATTTTAATGAAGAATATTAGGTATACGGCATGTGGTACAGGCACATTTGTATACAAAATTGATTGAGTAGAAACTGTCGAGTATCATAATTTTTTTAATAATTTATGTTGTATTTATTTATTTTTTTTTTTTAATCATTCTCAAAATCATTTTAAAAACTTATAAATTATTTGATTTATTTATGATTTATTTAACAATAATAGACAATCGCTACCCACATAAAATTATTATTTATTAAATTTCGTAAAATTTTGCTCATCGATTTTATACTCAAAGCCTTAGTTAATTGATCGAAAAACCCATTAGAGCCCATTAAAATAGCTGTTTTTATGAGCTATTAAAATGGCTTCCCTTTTCCATTTACCACTATTCAGATAACGGTTATTAACCCATTAGATATTCTATTATACAGTAAAAATAATTACTCTTCCTCGAGGGCCATGCATGTTCACACCTTCTGGCTGCCTCTTCCTACGAGAACATTGAGTCTACATTGTATCACCTGTATCTGTATCCACCAGTTACTGAATGTTCAATTGCCTTCAACCCAGTTTTTAGTCTCGTACTCGTAGAATGGGGGGGAATCCTTTCAAGCGAAAGGCGGAGGCAGAGCCATAGGCAGTGGCCGGGCTATGCCGCAGACATGCGATCTCCTGTTTTATCGCAAAAATCAATTCTAACCTCATTCCATATACTGCACAAAATAAAAAAGCTTAGCGTTAGAGAGGGACGGGGGTGCCAGGGGAGTGCTTGCAACAAATAGGTGGGTGTGTCATGTTGCAAGCAACTGCTGCGCTGTCTTTGTGTGTAACCTACTTAGGGGGCAAACTGTTGTGCTGCTTCTTTGGTTAAACACTTTGGACAAGGCAACAAAAGAGAGTGCACCCCAGAGAACCTCCCTGTAACTACCCTCATCCATGAACCCCCTTAAACCGATCTCTACACCCATGTCCTCTCAAGCTTAGGCCCCTACCCAGCTACACCCATGTCCTCCCATGCGTGTTGTTGGGTAAACAGTGCCCCCGGGCTGACCTACAGCCAAAGCAGTTTTTCCACACCTCGCTTCTTGCATCTCAAGTTGCTCCCTCCAGGCATTTTCCTCTGTTTCCCTACAGAATTCTGTTCTCAGCATTCCTGCTCTGTTCTTCGGTTTTTTCCCGTGGAAATCCAAAAAGTTTTTGAATAATTTTTATCGACTTGTTGGCCTGGCAGTTAGAAGGTTTGTGCTGACAAAGTTTTCCAGCCTCTCTGACTCCCGATTTCTTTTGCTTGTCTCTGGATTTAATGGCTTTTCCCCCAAAGAGATTTATGATGCGCTAGCCCCTTCTATGAAAATGGAAAGATTCTCTCTCTCATCCCCCAATGACTAAATGATGGAATTAGTGAATGAATAAGGTGAATAATGAGTGGGACATTAAAGTGAATAATTGGTGGGCAGTAGACGTCTAAAATATGTTCATTGAAAGACAGAGAGACAGAGAAAGAGAGGAAACTGAATCGGAAATCTGTGCGGCAATTTCGAACTGTAATCTCGGCACACATTTCTCAATTGTGGGGCCCGAGACATACAAGCAATTAATAGATCAACAATTTATAAAATTTATAAACATCTGGCATTCAATTATTGACATCAATTTGCCCATCAACCAACAGCAGGCAGGCAGTCAGTAGTCCAAGGCAGCGAGAGAGAAACATGATTCGAAAAAATATACAAAACAAAACAGAAACACAAGGAGAAATATAGATTCGAAGAGTGCAGTGTTTGATACTCTATAAGATCCAAACATCCAATCTGTACCTAATTCAGCTGAAAATGAAACTGGAAACATCTTTAGATCGTTATGGTGCTTCTTTTTAGATACTTTTTTACTGAATCATTTATCTGCAAATGGAACTGTTTTTTCCAAAGTTTGATTTTAAAAATACTGATGGGAAACCCAAATTATTTGTCCCACAAACCATTCAAAAGATAGGTAAAAATATCTGCTAAATTATATAAGAATATCTGCAGCTCAAAACGAGACCAAAACACTTCACACTCACCCACGAAAGTTTGCCAAACCTCATGCTAAATAATTGTACTAAACAATTTTTTCTCTCTGCTAAAAATTTTGCACTGAAAACTCATATTTTTCAGCGCTGCAATTAACAAGCGCGTCATAAGAAATATTGCATAATTTTTCCATTTTCTTTTGGCGCACATTAGTCATAAGAAAATGCAATTTATTTGTAGTTAAAAAAGTTTCTAAATTAAAAAACTTTCAAATGCTCTTAATTGAGAGGCAATTAACAAGCGGCAACAGGAAAGAACAAAAGGAGGGAAAGCAGAAAACCGAAGAGAATGGAAACACACAAAAGACGGAGAAATGTTTGCAATGAATACCCGAGGGGAGACGGGATGATGGACACAATGGAAACGGAATCCAAACGGAAATTCATTGAGTAGCGGAGTGGGGAGCCGCAAATCAAGACGAGAACTGAATGCCAATTGAGGCATCAACGTCACAAAAGCTACAGAGTTTTAACTGGAGGAGAGTGTAGCCCCAGGTTTTCCTCTCATAAAACTGCAGGAGAGTGTGGCCTCAGGCCACTCAGAGTGTGCACTTTTGTTAAGACAGAGTAGAGAAAAGGGTATAACTGATGATTGGCTAAGGAATACCAATGGAAAATGGAAATTTGCTGCTTTAAAAACCCAAATAAAAAGCTATACATACTATTATAATCATGGAAATATCATATCAAAATTAGTTTCAAAGAAAACATACAAAAAGCATTTTATTCATGGTATTATTCCCTGATGCCATCCCAATCATTAAACATTTACCTTATGTATTCCTTATAGCAAGGGTTGCAAAATTCATTCAAAACATAGTTACATTTTCTTCATGTTCAAAATATACATACAATATATAGATTAGATTTATTTT